ACACTGTTCATGGGGGTTGCCTTTGAAAATGATTCAGAAACTCCAACTGATTCATAATACAGCAGCACAGCTGTTAATGGGGACTAGCCCATAAGATTATAATTTGCCAGTCGTTTTTCAGCAGCACTGCCTGCCTGTTGAAGTCTGGGCATTTAAAGCCCTAAGCAGCTTTGGGCCAAGTTATCTGAAGGAACACCTCATCCCTTATGTAACTACCTGGGCCCTAAGATTGTCTTTCAGGGTCCTTCTCAAAGAGCCCCCTCCAAAGGAAGTAAAGAGGGTGGTGACCAGGGGAAGGACCTTCTTTGTAGTGGCCTCCCATCTATGGCATGAACTCCCCAAAGATGTATGCTTGGTGCTGACTCTTTTTTCCTTAGATGCCAGATGAAAACCTTTTTATTTGACAGATATGTTAATAATTGAAAGGTTTTTCCCTTGGTTTTAACACTGTATTGTGTTTTTTCTGCTGTTGTGCCTTTTCCACAACTTAATTGTGGCCACTGTAGTTAGTCTATTGCTGATTCTATTGATTGGTTTTATTTGTTTATTGCTTTTTTGTTGTTGGTAGTGTTGTTGTATTGTTTACTTTAATTCTGTTAACTGCCCATAGAGACTTTTGGCTATTGGGCAGCATATAAGTGTAATAAATAAAGAGAAGATCAGACCAAATGCCTGACTCAGCAAGGCTAGGAAATCAGAGAAAGAGGGAGGGAGGGAGGGAGGGAGAGAGGGAGGGAGGGAGAGTTAGGTGCTGTGAGCTGTCTGAAAGGGAAGCACTCTGGGCTGCAATGAATCTCTTGAGGAATCAGAGGCCTGCAGGGGGGTCTGCTTGCTTCTGTTTCAGACTTTGCAGATAGGGATGAAATCAGAACAGTGATTAAACAAGGACAGGCAGACAAGTCTCCAGTGATCTGCCATCTAGAGAAAATAAACTCTCCAAACTGCCTCTAGGATGCCTTAACTGTGTTATACTGACTGAAATGTAATCTAAAAAATGTAACAAATCACTTTTTAATCTTGTTTCCCAAGCTGACCACTGCTGAGAGCTGCAACCTTCATTCAGACTGTTTGATGGGTTTGTTCTTGGATTCTTGCCATGTTGCATGCAATCCTGGATGTGTCTCTCCACGCCCCCACCCCCCATTGCAGGCTTCCTGTATGCACACCAACATATGCTGGGTGGGGCATGGGAATTTCTGACATGGGAACTTTGTTTGGGGAGGTGCCTGTTACAGGGTGGGCGGCTTCTGGCATTCTTGCCTGGAAGCCTGGAGAGCAGCTGCCAGTTGTGCCTCACAAAACTGAACCGGGTGGAGCCACATCAGAATGGAAGTACTTTAGGAAACTGCAGAGAAAAGACTTTTCTTTAGGTGAAATGCAGCATGGGATGTAGAAGGGTGAATTTATTTGTCCTTGCGGGGGGGATCAAGTAGATTATGTTGCCCTGCTGGGATCTGAAAAGAGATGGCTCCTGTTTCTTAAACAAGACATCTGTAAATAAGGCAATTGATATATGAACATGGAAAGTCAAAGCTGAGCAAATCAAACCTAGTTTCTTTGAGGAGGTCCAGCAAATGTAACAAAGCATGCGCAGCACTGAACTAAATGAATGGCCTGAGGCACTGGCGTCGAGGCGCTGGCATCGTTGACCAGGCAGATTCCAATGGGGCCTTTACACACCCACCAGTTCTGCTGAGCCTCTCTGCCTCTGTTGAGCAAGTGGTGGGCTCTGCATACACAACAGAATTGGTGAGACCTACCACTTGTGCCACAGAGATTAGGCATGCCCCGAAGGAAGCTAGTGTCACATCCCGAGACTCTAGTAGTTACATGGTATACGAAAGCTTTAAAGAAATAAATAAAGCTTTAATAAATAAAGCAGAAATGCTCAATAGGACAGTCTACCAAGGTTCCCATACATAGAAACATAGAAACAGAGCAAGTCAGGGGGTCTTCCAGGCCATCTAGTCTGACCCCCGGCTCCAGCCAGCTCCGCTCATGACATGCCTACCATGTGCAGGTCCAGTCTATCCTTGAACACCCTTACCAAATTGTCGCAGCCTGCTCCATTGTGGAAATGAGCATTTTCACTCATTTCTAGTTGCCACACAAGTGCTAAGTCTTCCTTCTCAAAGTGGTGGGTCCCACTTATGACTGGGAATTGGTGGGGTATAAATGAATTGGCAGAAGTCTAAGCACCAATTGGATTCGACTCACTGGCTTCATGACCTAGTGAGTTCCTGATTCAAAATTCCATTTTAGACAAGATTTCACAGTTTGGCTCACTTTAGACAACAAATGTTAGACTTGATACAGTAGCCTCCTAAAAATGGGATGAACGAAAGGCTGAGGGCTTCCCCTTACTTTACCCCATACATAGACCTGTAGTTCTGTGATAGAGAGACCAGAAGATACACTAGGTGAGAACGGGAGGTGAAGGAGAAGGATCAGTGCAAAACATCCAGAACCTCAACGCGGCCAGGTAAAAAATATTCAGCCCTGTGGTGACCTGGTACCCCAACTGCTGGCACAAGGCACCAAAGCTGGTACTGACTGCCATTACTGAGGGTAAAGCAAAACCAAGTCTCCTTGGCTCTCAGATATGTTTGGTCAATTGGGAATGACTAAGGATCCCAGCAGGGTCTCTTGCACCGGGCTTCTTTGCTTTACACAGGTGTGTCCCTTCAGAGAGCACAGCCAAGGTTTGCTTAGTGTGCGTTGCGTGCAGCCCAGTTGCTAAATTAACATTAGTATGACTAATAAATGTGGTGTGCCCCTACGTGAGCCTCCCCGCTTTCACCCTCAAAGCATACAGTCTGGATGTTGATGAAAAGAGGGTAAAATATTTATTAGGTATTTAGGAACAAATACAATACTGGAAAAGGGTTGGTCATATTCAGAGCACAAAGTAATAAGCCATTTAAAGTGGCAGTTCAGTAGCAAAGGGCAAATAAAATAGAAATTACAGTCTAAGTACCTACGTGGTTCTTTGAAAACTCACAAGTTTAGAGGTGAAGTTCACCAAGTGAAGTCTTCCTCAGTGCACCCACATTTGGGGAAACACAACCAGACACCTGTTCTGGTAAATGAAGCTTGGCACAAACTCCTTTGGTGCCTGCATCAAGCTCTCCTGCTTTTTGGTAAGGATAATCTTAGCACCTGTACTGGGATAGTAAGATCCCCAACTTGCCTTGCCAGTGGAGTTTCTCTCCTTCTATCCCTTTCCTCTTGCCTGGGTGGAGAATTTCTTGGGCTTGCCTGTCTGCTTGTTGGGTCTCTTGAAGGCCCACTAAGTGCTCACCCCCAACTCTGAGATGGATTCTACAGGATTCTTCATTGTTTAGGCCCCTGGGGCAGTTTACCATTCAACAGGTTTGCTAGTGAAGTGCTTGGCCTTGATTTGACTTAAGCCAGGGCATCCTATTCCCTAGGAGAACTCCTAGTAGGATTGCAGCTTTAATTGTATCACATATTGTTTGTTTGTTTAATACATTTATATAATTCCCCATTGCCCAGAGGGCTCTCTAGGTGGCTTACAATAAACGAGATTGTACAATATTACTTTTCTTGATTTCCATGTGCCTGGACACTTATCCTTTGTCCTTTTGCATTCATTGACCAGAACATTAGAAAAGAGAATCAAACTTTTTATTGAACAACTGAGAAGAATAAAGCCAGAATTCTACTCTAAAATCCCCCCCACCGCCACCTTTTTTGGCATTTTAACTTTTCCACATGTAGTTTCTAGAACAGCCTTCTCCAACCTGGTGCCCTCCAGATTTGTTGGACTGCCATTCCCCTCATGTGGCTATTAGCTGTTCTGGCTGGGACTTATAGCAATTGCAGTACACATCTAAGGGCCTTGGGGTGGGAAAGGTTGGTCCAGAGGCTCACTAAATAAATAGAGCTGAAAATCCAAGGAAGTGGCCTGGAGCTTCCCTGGGGCGACTATTCTGCCCTTTTAAGTAAGTGGATGCAAGGTAAATTTCTGTGGGTGGAGACAGAGGGAGGCAAAGGATTGTCCTCGCAACAGTGCTGCAGTCTCTCGCTTTGACAGGAATGGTGGCAGTGAGGTATCACGCAAAGTGGAAAGCTGGTTTTGTGCTGCCTCTGTGTGTGTTATGCAATGTAGCCATCTGTGCCAGAGCTCCAGAAACACATACCTGCACCCCTCCTAACTAGAAGCATTTCCATCCTACATCAGAAGTAGGATGTTAGAGGCAATTTACACAGAAGACAAAAGGATAACCTGACATTCTCTGAGAACCTGTCTGAGAGCCAAGCCAGCAATGAAAGTTGCTTTCTTCTTAGAAAAGGGTTTACAAAAGGCTTGGTTGAGGCTCGAGTTCTCATTTTCCAATTACCAGCCAGCCTGTCAAGCTCCTACTGAAGCCAGACCATCGTAGACTGTGGCAGCTTGTTCTGTAATTGCCTGGCTGAGAGGAAGCATCTTTTGAAGATCTGGCTGTTGTATAATGAAATACAGTGTAAGAGTCAATGACTGGAGGTGGCCTTAAGAACATCTTTCATCGATCTTAGGGTCAGGCTTAGGGGCATTTGCAATGATTAGTTATGTGAATTTCGTATTTATTTCTGCCTGGAATCATGGGGCAGAGTCTTTCCCTGCAATCTCCATCCCCCAGTGGAAAGCATTTGGGGGACAGCATGCTCTTCTAGCAGGTAGGCTCTTTCACCCCCAAAGACTCATGAGGTTCTGCTGTGGAGGAGAGTCTCCCATTTGAAAGGGGGCACAGGGAACTGGCCTTAGACGATGGAGCTGGAAAGCACCTGATGGGCCAGCAAATATTCAGAAAAAATAACTGGAGTGTTTAAAGAAGGCGCAATGGGTCCTATTGTAATGTTACGTATAGCAATTTAGTGAAGAGGTTTGGCTTTTAGCCCATTCAGTTTAACAAGCATTTATTGGGTTATCATACCGAAAAAAGCAATGCATGCAAAACAAGCCAATCAGTGAATCAAGAACTCTGAAAGTCACATACCACACAGGAAGCTTCATATTGTTTTCCCAGTTTGGGTCTCAAAAATGCACTGAGGAAAGACACAAATAGGTGTTAAAAGGATAGTTATAGGCAGAGAACAAATTAAAATATGTTGAATGAGGATGAAGGTCACCTTGGCAGAATTATTTATGGCAATGGGGCTAAATAGGCACTTGTGTTTATATACACAGAGAGAAAAAATACATGCCAGGTCCTAAGGAAACTCTGCTACAAAACAACTCCACAGGGCACTTTCCAGGCACTGATATCACATTGAGGGCCGGGCGATGGAAGGATCCACCTTCTCTGCACTGACTTGGCTTACGTGGTGCATCTCAGAATGCAGAGCAGGGGAAGGCCCATTCAGCAAGTGGGAGGAGGGGAGCTGATTGAAGTCCTGAATGAACAGCAGAGACAATCCACTGGTAATGAGTGATCCAGGCCCACTGAAAGGCCTGGAAAAGAGAGGTCTGTCAGCTGGATGAAAAAGCATGTGATGTGGCTGAAGCCAAGGAGGTATGGCTAGTACCAGGTTTTAATGGAGGGTAGGACCCATTTCAACTCCACGTGCAAGCTGTTACAAAAGCACTGGACTGGCTGCCATTCTAGTTGTATAATACTTACTTTTCAGCCAAATAACAAACAAGCCACTATGGTAATCACATTTGGAAGAAGGCTGTGCAACATTTTAATGCTTTTTAAATGAAAAATACCTTTTGTAGTCATTCATCATAGCACCACAGAGAACCAAGTGTGCCCCCAGTCAACCTGCCTATTGCGTAACACATGTGCATTCCACTAAGTGCACAAGATGCTGGAAGGACCAGCATCTCCCAAGGCTGCTTCTTGTTTCTAAAGCCCAGCAATGTGTGCCCTTTCTCCCAGAGGTTTGGTGGATTTCCACCACTCTAACAGAGCATTTTGGGGCCGTACCTTCTGTCAATAAATTCCTCCCCTGGAGAGTTTATCAGGTATGTTCACTCATTTCCTCTAGGGACCAGGTGGAAATGGTTCAATATACTAAGACCTATAATGGCCAGTTGCTTGAACTGATCACTGGCAAATTGCAACTTTTGATATTTCAATTTGTGAGAGTGGGTTATTTTTATGTGTTAATTAATGTTTGTAAGGGCCTTTAATTTCTTTGTAAGCAGCCTTGAATATTCAGATGCATAGAACATAGGAAATATCTCTTTTGAATAAACAAACTCCACTAAGTATATTAAATATTGACCAGCTAAAGTACAGAACGTCTAAATGCAATGGATATTAATTGATGAGTTAGATTTTTGTACATACTGGGAATAGACAGGGCTTGTAAATGTGACATTTTGGTTGGGGATCCCAATCTATTTCTGTATCTATCTCTAATATTGCATAGCTTTCATTTCCTTGCATTTTTAAACCAAAGCTGTACTTGTGTCTAAGTCATAACAAGTGGAAGCCTTTCAAGCTGCATCTCTAAATGTCTCCAGGCTTCCATTTCCCTGTAAGATAGAACAACAAGCAGTGAACAACAGAAGTATCTGTCAAGAGTTCCAGATGAATACAATGTGAGGATGTATAGCATTTATCGTCTCGGACCTGGTGTTGAGGACCCCCAGGATGTTGATCCTGGGGGACTTCTATCTCCATGCCGAGACTGGTCTGACCGGGGCGGCTCAGGACTTCATGGTATCCATGACGGCCATGGGGCTGTCTCAAAATGTCACAGGCCCGACCCATAACGTGGACACACTCTGGACCTGCTTCTCGACGGGGCAGGAAAAGGGTGGTCTGAGGGTGAGGAATTTATGCCTGGCACCCCTGTCATGGTCAGATCACTTCCTGGTGAAGTTTGTGCTCGAGAGCGGCCTCTCCCTCTGTAAGGGTCCAGACCCGATTGTGTGGGTCCACCCCAGAGCCGGATGGATCCAGATGGACTCCTGAAGGCCCTGGGGGAGTTTCCGGCTGACAAGACTGGTGTTCCTGTTGAGGCTCTGGTCGAACTGCGGAACGGGGAGATGACCAGGGCTGTTGACACGATCGCTCCTAAGCATCCTCTCCCGCCAGGCAGGACCCACTCTTCCCCTTGGTATACACCTGAATTGCGGGCAATGAAGCAGGCTGGGAGACAGCTAGAGCATAGGTGGAGGAAATCACGGGATGAATCTGACCGAACACACTTAAGAGCCCATTATCAGGCCTATGCTGTGGCGGTGAGGGTGGCGAAAAAGAAATTCGTTTCCGTTTCGATTGCCTCCTCAAAATGCCATCCGGTGGAACTTTTTCGAGTGGTACAAGGCCTGGTTCGCCCTAGCCCTAAGAAAGATCTGGTTCCACCCTCGAAGGCCCGCTGTGATGACTTTGCCAAGCATTTCAGGGAGAAAATCGCTCAGATTCATCACGAGCTAGACTCTACTAGTGATTCAGAGGTTTCTGGGGAGATACCAATGCCGCCGTCTGGTCCAAAATTAATGGATGAATTTCAGTTATTGCGGCCTGATGATGTGGACAAGGTGCTTGGACGAGTATGTCCCACCACTTGCCTATTGGACCCTTGCCCATCTTGGTTAATAAATAACGCCAAGCACGGGATTGGGATCTGAATCTTGGAAGTGGTTAACGCTTCTCTGAGGGAGGGTTGGGTACCTGCCCCTTTAAAGGAGGCGGTAGTCTGACCGGTCCTGAAGAAAGCGTCACTGGATCCAGAGATGGCCACTAATTATAGACCAGTGGCCAACATTCTGTTTCTGGGCAAGATGTTGGAGCGGGTGGTGGCGGGACAACTCCAAGCACTCTTGGATGAAACTGATTATCTGGACCCATTTCAGTCCGGCTTCAGACCTGGAACGGTACTGAATCTGCCTTGGTCGCCCTGTACGATGACCTGTGCAGGAAGAAGGACAGGGGGAGTGCGTCCCTGTTGGTTCTTCTGGACCTCTCAGAGGCTTTCGATACCATCGACCATGGTATCCTTCTGGATAGGCTAGCGGGACCGGGGGTCGGAGGCACTGCTTTGCAGTGGTTCCGCTCCTATCTCAATGGACAATTCCAGAAGGTGGTGCTGGGGGACTATGGCTCTGCACCATGGCAGCTATGCCATGGAGTACCGCAGGGGTCCATTTTGTCCCCTTTGCTGTTTAACGTCTACATGAAACCGCTGGGAGAGGTCATCAGGAGGTGTGGGCTGCGGAATCATCAGTACACTGATGATTCCCAGCTCTACCTCTCATTTTCCACCAATCCAGGTGAGGCAGTGGCTGTGCTGAACTGGTGCCTGGCCGAGGTAATGGGCTGGATGAGGGCCAATAAACTGAAGCTCAATCCAGACAAGATGGAGGTCCTGTTGGTTGGCGGATTGGGCTTCGGTGAGGGTGAATTGAACCTAGTTCTGAATGGAGTTGTACTCCCTCTAAGGGACAAGGTCCACAGCTTGGGAGTGCTCCTCGACCCAGATCTTTCACTGGAAGCTCAGGTGACAATGGTGGTGAGGAGCGCTTTCTTTCAGCTTTGGCTGATCCATCAGGTGCGCCCCTACCTGGAGTATGACTGCCTAGCGACAGTGACACACGTGTTGGTGACTTCCCGCCTTGACTTCTGTAACGCGCTCTACGTGGGGCTACCCTTGAAGATGGTCCAGATACTTCAGTTGGTTCAAAATAGAGCTGCCAGGCTGCTGACGGGGACTGGGCGTTAGGTTCACATGACTCCAGTCCTCCGTCAGCTTCACTGGCTTCCCATTGAAGTCCAGGCCCAATTCAAGGTGTTGGTGATGACCTATAAAGCCCTAAACGGCTTGGGTCCTGGTTACCTGAAGGAGCGCTTATGTCCATATATGCCCGCCCGCCCCCTGAGATCTGCAGGAGAGGCCCTTCTCTGGGAACCCTCCATGAAAGAAATTAGGAGGGTGAGTACTCGGAGGAGGGCTTTCTCTGGGGTGGCGCCCAGTCTATGGAATGCGCTCCCCAGAGAGGTCTGCCTGGCGCTGTCATTATTTGTTTTTCAGCGCCAGGTGAAGACCTTTTTATTCAAACATCATTTTAACTGTTAATAGTATTTTTTTATTTTATTCTTTGGCCAGGGTGACTTAGTTTATACTGTTAATTTATATTATTTTAACTGAAGTTATTTATGTTATGAGCCGCCCCGAGGCTTCGGTGAATGGGGCGGCATAGACATTTTCTAAATAAATAAATAATTTAAATGTGAGTTTCTCAGCCAGGTGGGCCTAGCTCAAATCTTGCTTCTTCTATGAATATTGGCCTCAGACTGTAACTTTGGGTTTCATTACTGAGATAAGTAAACACCCTATGAATGTTCACTATTGGTAAACTTTTAGCATATTGTATTTATGTGACTTGGAAGAGACATTGGGAAATAATTTCTTGGAGGCTTTTATCTTATCTATTGGCCATAAGACAATATGTTATGGTTTGCTATTGTCATTCTCATTATTTTATCACTAGTAACTTTAGATGTTGAAGTTCAATAGTAATTTACTAGGAGTGTAGTTTGCATCTGACAGACTTCTGATATAAATGGAGAGGAATGGCTCTTCCCCAAGGGTAACAAACATATCAGTAACATAAAACAAACAAAATAGAACATTCTGGCTAAATCCTAGTGCAGCGTGGTGAAATAGGAATGTTTACTGAAAAAATAAGAAACCTGTGTGCACTTACCAGGAAGCACATGCCACTGACTTATTTCGGAGTGGGGCTTACTTCTGCGTACAGATACATAGAACTGCTTCACCAAACAGAGACATAATGTGCCACAGGCCAGCTAGTATTTTCATGGTGAGCAGGCTTGCAGCTTGATCCCTCCTATTACCCATCAGAGCATTCACCACACTCAGATGCATGACTTTCATGCTGTGTCATATTGGTAACCTACCATCACTCCAGAATGGCAGGACAAACTGTGCTTGCCGGAGTAAGGCATACTGGGGGCCTGGCGGCTCGTTTCCAAGTTTCTTGGTGTGGACTGTACCACCCAGACAGACACACGCTCTAAATCTGCTGCCTCCACTGCTCTAGGAGTGGTCCAGGGTCTCTTGGTATAGCTGCCCTGCCGCTTGAGGGTGTGGGCACCCCTGGATGGGAGCACCACCAAGGGCCACAGACTGGAGAACAGGGGCTGAGGTGTGGGCGGAGACAGTGTCAAGCCCCTTGGCTGTAAGTGTGCGAAGCAGCCCTTCGAGCAAGCAAAGTACTCTGTCAAGGAAACAGGAGCGCCTGGGTGCTCCGCCCGGGCAGTCGTCCCTTCCAAACCAACACCACACACCCAGGCGGGCGCCGTTTCGGGCGGCCCCAGCAGCAGCCGCAGCTCTTCCCCAGCCTGGGCCGTCATCCCTGCCTCCCCCTCCCCAGCGACGCCTTGCGGGCAGCGCCCCCTGTTTGCCTCACCTGGTTTGCCTCCAGAGGAAGGTCTGGATAGGCAGCGGGATGCCTCGGCCGCTCCCCTGCTCCTGGCCTTCCGACTTTTTCCTCTTCACCATGGTGCTAGCTGCCCGGCCGCAGCGGCTGTTAGCCCATCGCTCCGCCTCGCCAGCAGCCTTCTCCACCTCAGGCTCTGCCGGCGCAAAATGGCTGCAAAAGCAGCGGCGACAGTCAAGCAGGCGGCGGGGAAGTCAGTACAGCTTGCGGGGAGGCGGCGGCGGCGACTGCCGCCAAGGACAAGCTGCTGTCCGCGTCGCGCCCTGCATGTCCCCCTTCCTTCAGCACCTCCTTCTGTGGACAGCGACAAGCGCGGAGGCACGTGCGCCCGCTACGCCGAGGGGACGCCGCCAGCTTGTGGGTGGCCGCGGTGAGGCGCCACCCATGGATGCCAGCCTCCCCGCGCGCGCCGCGCGGACGCCCCGACGGAGAAAGTTTGGGGCAATAGGTGGAGGCTCTCGCACCCGGCAGCGCTCTAGGTCAGCACCGGGATCCTCGCGTCATGGACGCGCAGATTCCCCCCCCCCCCCGCTTTGTTTTTCATCGAGCAGCTTTTCTCGTCCCAGCTTAAATCAGGAGACACTGTTTGTTTCCCCTGGAAAGGTGAATAAATCAAATACTGGCAGCTTGTGCTGCGAGCGAAGCAGAGGCGCTTGGTTCGAAACCCGAGCCTAACCCCTTTCAGACCCACTTATTTTTGGAACAGGATGCTTAATAAACAACAGACTTTTTAGTGGAGGGTGGGACATTCCCCCTCCCCAGTGGGACATTATTTCTCAGGATTGTTGAAGCTCTGGTTATTGCTTTCGGATGTAAACAGATCAAACGCTCTTTAAAGGTTGGATCTAGGGTTGGTTCTTGTGAAGTAGAACTATTGAAATCAATGAGAACTGTGTTGTAATGAGCAGCAAGCTGCCCTGATTTCAGTGGGTCTGCTTGAGTATAACTGAATCCAATCTAATGCTTGTTTGTTCTGCAGTTCAATCTTAATAGCTATGGTTAGGCAGTTCAGAGAAAATGAGGCTGCTCTCCTAAGCACACTTAGCAGTAACCCTTGTTGAACTCTGAAAACATTGGTGTACATACCTCACTGAAAGCAATGGGACAAGTTTGCCACAGTAACATAGACCCACTGCATCCAACTTTCACTGGAAAAAGCAACTAACTAGTTGCTTGTGCATTTATCTATTTAGAATAAATATTCCAGTATCCCAAAATGAATTGTCTGGATCACATTTACAGCACAGGTCAGTGGAAAAATGTCCACAGCTTGACTGCACAATCAATGTATTTGTTATGTGGAGTAGATATTGATTATATACAGAAATCTTTTCCTGCACTAACCTTCCTCTTACAGAAAGGCTAAAAGTTCCTTACAATTTAATGAGGGGATTTATAATATTGTCATTAGGACTAAGCCAGATTTCACAAATTAGTGAGCAAACTTTCACGTTCTTCAGGCTGGATGGGAAGCAAAGCAGGGGCTGCACAGAGAGAAAGAAAGCTGCCGTGCACTGCAGACACAATGCCTGCATTTCCTCCCAGTCTTCCTATCAGACATTTTCCTCCCAGT